CTTAAATGTCTCTCATCGATTCAATTCCTGGTACCTGACCCGGTGCAAGACTCTGGTTGGTTTTCAATCATACAAAAAAGTGCAAATAAATAAATAAATAAATAAATAAATAAATAAATAAATAAAAAAATAAAAAAAAATTAAAAAATAAATAAATAAATAAAATAAAATAAAATAAAATAAAATAAAAATAAAAAAATAAAATAAAATAAAATAAAATAAATGCAGGGTGCAAAATGGAGGCAGGCAGCTTTTGCAGTTTCCTCTCCAGCAGCAGATCACAGAATAATATTTGGAGACGCCTTTAATCTGGTCTGAGTAATTGGATAAAACTACAAAAGCTAAAACAGCAATGGTAAAAATGAACATTATCTTAAAATTTTGACCTAACACTCCATAAAACACAGGTGTCAAACATGCGGCCCGGGGGCCAGATCCGGCCCTCCAAGACCTTTAATCTGGCCCTCATCTGATTTTCTACTAAAATATTGTAATTATATTTTCTATTAAAATCTTGTTAATTTTCTGTGGTGTTTATCACAGCAGCGTCTCCAGCGTCTCTGTACGTGGCCCCTCCCACCAGAGCAGCACAAATGAAGACTTGTCTCTTTCCAAACGCTCTTAAAGGACGATCGTTTTGACTGTTGACCGTGACACCCTCATCAGAAAAATGTCCAACATGAGAAAAGTGGAGCCGAGTGCAGGATTTTACAACAAAAATTTACTTATTCCTATTTATACAAGTTAATGTTAAAACTTTGTGTTGAAATTGTATTTTTCTTAAAGTTTCAGGTTGTTCATAATATTATAATATTTTGTAAAAGAAAGAGTTAATCAATTAAAAAAGATTTCTGTAATAGATTTGTGTTTCTCTGCACAAATATTTGAACTTATTGTTATTTTTGGGGTTTATATGACATGAGTTTTCTGATCCGGCCCCTTTGGGATCAAAGTCGGTTGGACACGGCCCCCGGACCAAAATGAGTTTGACACCCCTGCCATAAAACAAACCCAAAACCAAAGAACTATTAAAACCTCAACTATATACATGAAAATCCTAAAACCATACACCAATAAAACTTTAAAACCCATAAACCAATAAAACACCAAACCTACGACCCCTGAACAATATAATAAATACACGTGGTCCAGCCCAGAACCTTAAAAGAGGGAGCTCGTTTCCGGGGGACTCTTTTAGGACCTGGACAGAAGAAAAAGGAGGTAAGTACAAAGCAAACCACACCGGTCATTAAACACAATAAAATAGACAAACACACACACGTCAACACTTAAAACATTTCAAACAGATGTATTACACCAAATATATTGCACTAACTCCATTTAAAAAGCAATTGGTTAATTAATAATGTCGCCTTTTTCTCCGGGGACCAGCAGCTTTCAGGTAAGTGCCACTGTGCCTCAGGATTAAAAGTGGTAAAAGGAAAGTTTAAATACTAATCGTGTGCAATGTTTTTTGTGATATGTGCCAATATGTTTAAAGTGCTGTGTGTCATAAAAAAGTGCGGTGTTTTAAAGTGTCTTAGTGAAGAGTGAAGGTGCTGAGTGTTTCTTATGGTCAACAAACTGACCTGTTTGTTACACAAGGCAACCCAAAAAAAACTAAAAACGTTTGCGATCCACCTGAGGGTCGCGACACAGACTTTGGGAAACACCGCGCTAACAGACACTGAACCAGCTGATCTATATCTTGGCTGGGCTTCCCCGCGGTGACGAGAATATGACGAAGGCCAAATCTCATTTCTCTTTCCTCACTTCTTTCTCGTTGATTCCTCAGTTCTGCAGGAAATGGGTGAGGGATTCCCGCCCACAAAGGAGACACAGCGAGTACCAAGAATATAAACTCATCACAGAGGGTCTGTTTACACGAGAAAAACGACAAAACATTTGATCTGAAGTGCTTTTTGTTTAGACGGTGACAGCGTTTTGGGGACTTAAAAACGCAAAAGTCTGAAACCAGCCTCCAGAGTGGAAAAGCTGAATACGCTCCACTGTAGCCATTCTGTCTACACCAGGGGTGTCAAACATACGGCCCCGGGGACCGATGCGGCCCTCCAAGACATTTAATCTGGCCCTCAGCTGATTTTCTTCTAAAATATTTTAATTTTATTTTCTATTCAAATATTGGTAATTTTCTGCGTCTCTGAGCACACCAGTGACTCCAGCGTCTCTGTACGTGGCCCCTCCCACCAGAACAGCACAAATGAAGACTTGTTTCTTTCCAAACGCTCTTAAAGGACGATCGTTCTGACTGTTGACCGTGACACCCTCATCAGAAAAATGTCAAAAATGAGAAAAGTGGACGCTGAGTGCAGGATTTTCCAAGAAAAAATTAACTTATTCCTGTTTGCAAACAAGTTCATGTTAAAACATTATGTTGAAATTGCATTTTTCTTAAAGTTTCAGGTTGTTTTGACACCCTTAGTCTACACTGCCCAAGACACAAAACTCTGGTCAGATTTGCTCAGGTCACGTACACATTTACGTCACATACATACAGTACACAGAATCAAACACGTCGGATCATTTCCATAAACTTACAGGAGGCTCCCAACAAATGTACAGAATCTGCAGAGATATTATTAGTGAACAGAGAAGGATCTGCAATCACCTCTGTCAAATTGTGGATGCACCAGTTCGTCGCAGGCGAGTCAGACGGATCTGGACGAGACCTGGAGGACCAGTCGATGGTGGGAAATGATGAAAATGCGTGACGTGAAAACTTCCGTATGTCCAAAGACGCCCTTGTTGCTTTAAGTAGAAACATACCCAATCAAATTCCACACACTTTTGCTTCGGAAAACACTTGTCTAAACGCGGAATAAAAAGTGAAGACGTGACGCCACTTTTGCATCTTCTGTTCAGACTGTCATGATATAAACGTAGCCTGAGACCGATAAAGTTTGATTCTTTTCTCTGACATATGCTCCCGAAGCCTCCCTCATGTTTACTCTTTCATTACGTGTTTGTTTTTTGTTTTTTTCGGACGCCATTTAATAAGACAAATTTGATTGACAGCTGAAAAATGAAGGAGAATCGAGGAGAAGGAAACGAAGAAAGAAAAATTTGACTTGGCCAAACTCTCCACCAGAAAAGCTCCATTTTGGAACTACTAGTGATGAAGTAATCTGTGTTTTTGGTACCCACAAGCTAACCTTCCCCTGTGTTTTGGAGTACACGTGGGCGATAGGTACTTGGCTCCTCAGTACTTTCAGGTTGCAGTAGCTGTACTTTACACCGGTCTGCTTGTTTCTCCCACAGAGCTGTAGTTTGGGCGAGGGAGGTCTGGAGACTCTCATGGACACTCTCTTGGACACACTCTGGTCCCTGGCACAGATCCTCATCACACAGAAGGCCAGCGTCAGGTCAGACTGGGCTACACAAGATATTTGTTAAAGTGTGAGACAGTCGTGGTGCAGTGGAGGAAGCGTTTTGGCCCGAAACCAGGAGGCATCAGGTTCAAACTCTCCACGGGTAAAACATTTTGTCCTGTGGGCCATTGGAGTGGAGCAGTAGTATTAGTAAAGAGGTGGCATTTTTTGTTTTGTTTCTTATTTTTCTAGCCCAGAAGAAGCCCACGTAGTAGTAGTAGTAGTAGTAGTAGTAGTAGTAGTAGTAGTAGTAGTAGTAGTCATAATAGCAATTAGTAATAGTAATAACAGTACTGGAAGCAGTAACTATTAGTAGTACGTAGTAATAGCAATAGTAGTAATGGTAGTAGTAGTAGCAGCAGTAGTATTAGGCTTAGTAGCAGTAGTATTTTAGTAGTAGTAGTTGTAATAGTAATTAAATAGGGGTAGTAGTAGTAGGTAATGGTCTTGGTGATGATGGTGATGGTAGTAGTACTAATAGTAGTATAATAGTAGCCAAAACCATAATAGCACAAATAGTAGAAGTAATAGTAGTGGTAATAGTAAAGTTGTAGTTGCAACAATAGTTATAAGCCTAGTATACTATTAGTATAATAGGTTTATAATAATAGCTTTAGAAGTAGTAGACATAATAGCAATTAGTAGTAGTAGTAGTAGAAGTAGTAGTTATAGTAGTAGAAGAAATGGCAATGGTAGAAGCAGTAACTATTAGTAGTACGTAGTAGTAGCAGCAGCAGTAGTAGCAGCAGTAATATTGTAGTAGTAGCAATTGTGCAACTAGTATGTAATAGTAGCCTAGAAGTAGGTTTCATAGTAGTAGTAGTCAGAATAGAAAGTAGTAGTAGTAGTAGTCGTTGTAGTAGTAGCAGCAACAGCAGTAGTATTAGCAGTAGTATTTGGCTAGGTAACAGAAATACTGAAGTAGTAGTAGTGGTGGTAATAGTAATTAAATAGTGAGTAGTGTGTAATAGTGGGGGTCGGGTAATAGTAGGAGTTGATAACAGTATGGTGATGATGGTAGTAGTACTAATAGTAGTATAACAGTAGCAGGACAGTAGCAGGTAGTAGTAATTGTAGTAGTACTAGCGGTATAGTAGTAAAGTAGTAGTAGCAGCAATACTATAACTAGTAATAGGCCTAGTAGGTTTTATTAGTAGTAATAGTAGTCATAATAGCAGCAGTAGCAATAGTAGTGGTAGAAACAGTAAGTATTAGTAGTACGTAGTAGTAGTAGTAGTAGCTATAGTAGAAGTATAACGCAAACCGTATTAGGCCTAGCAGTATTGTAATAGTGGAAGTGTTAGTAAAAGCAATTAAATAACTATAGTAGTAGGTCTAACTGTAATAGTAGTGGACTTGAAGTATTGCTTATCAGAGCACTACAACAATTTTATATTATCAAATACTTTTTACTCGTGCCTGCCTTCTACGCACTACTACCTTAATAGGCTATATATTTCACCAATCCTTTCTTGGCTACTCCGCGCACTTCTTTGATTTGTGGCCACTCCGGAATCAAACGCTGGACCGTCCCGTGCCGTGCGTAACGAGCGTCAGTGGAGCGTTGGTGCTGAGCTGTGGAAGTGGGAGGGGCGGGCGGAGAGAGCGAGGCACCCCGGAGCACAGCGCTCTCCTCCGGGCTGGATACCGGGGACAGTGAGCTGGTCCTGCGTGTGGACTGGGAGCCGGCTCTTTCACTCTTTTGACTCTTCCAAACCGACGCACGTACGCACACACAGCCGCAAACGCACGCACACACGCACACACACACACGCGTCACGCCGCTCGCTCTTGCGCGTCTGACAGCGGCTCCAGCGTGATCCAGCGCTTTGGCCAAGAAGAAAGTGCACGCCAGGACGCGATCGGAACGGAACAATGCGCACCGCTGTTGTTGTTTACGTTTTTCATCGCGATGTCACCACTTCTACGCCGCTCCGCCGCTGTCCGGACCGGATGACGCGTGCTGGCATCCAAAAAGTCGCAAACTGGATATTTTGCGTGTAGCCTGAACGCGATTTCGAAGCGTGCGAGGCTGTCAGCGGAATCCACAACACCATGGATAAGCAAAACGAAGCGAGGAGCGATCTGACGCCAACTAAAGACGACAAGCGTAAAGATAAGAAGGCGAAACCGGGCAAGCTTTTCCGTAAGAAGCCGCTCAAATCCGTGGGGAGTTTTGTGAACCGGTTTTTTAAGAGTTTGGGCACTTTGGGACACTTTACCGACGCGCAAGACGTTGAAGACGACGATGGGGGATTTGGGAACGGCGCGAAATGCACTCTCAACGCGAGTCTTGCCAAAACGGACGCGCAGGTGCCGTGGGGAGCGAGAAATACGCCGAGTACGTCTTCGTCGATTTGCACGGGACGGGAAAAGCTGTTGTTTCAGTTCGGGGATAAGACTCCCGGGGTGCTGGGGCTGAAAAACCACGGGAACACTTGTTTCATGAACGCGGTGGTGCAGTGTTTGAGTAACACGGATCTGCTGGCGGAGTACTTGGGCTTGGAGCGGTACAAGTTGGATCTGACCCGGGTTAACGGGATGGGGAGCGCGGAGACGCCGGCGAAGAAGGGGGAGGTGACGGAGCAGCTGGCCGCGCTGGTCCGGGCGCTGTGGACGCTGGAGTACACGCCGCAGTTGTCCGTGGATTTTAAGGTACGTGGGTGTCCTACAGGTGGGACAGTGAAGAGGACCCCCCCCCCCCCCCAAAAAAAAAAAAACATCCACGAAACACCTACTGTAAAAAGAAATTGACGTTTGTGATCATTTTAAAAAGTTAAAAAAAAAAAGCCATCAAAAGACAAGTTTATTTACAGTGTCATAATTGCTGATTTAGAGAAGTTTTTGAGATGGTTTGGAGAGCTGGAAGAGCTATAGATGATCCTTCAAAAACAACTTCTAGCCTACTTAGTGTTTTAAAAGTGTTTTTAAAGGGACAGTCCGTCATTTTTAGCCTGATTCATCAGCCGGTTTCACTTCGTAGAAACCTGTGTGACCTCGCAGCGTTAGAATTCGTTTGCTTGACGGTAGGCAGTTACTTTTTTAAATGTAACCAATGGCTGCAATTTGGTTGTGATTTATGTAATGGAGCTAATTGGTATATTAAGCTTTTCCTAAATCTTGTAGGAAGAATAGCAATAACGTCTTTCCCCTTGATAAAATTCACCAAACATTCTATTTGTTGTGACTTTAAACCCTCGATCTCGGGAATCGTTGCCCATACAGAATGTCTGGCTCTTTGCTGATTGGCTGGTGCCCGAACTCGCACTTACGGGGTTTTTGCAAACCGTCTAGTGTATTCCGATTCCTGACCTAGTCGCTGGAGAGAAATTAAATTAAGTGGAGGCACTAGGTGGCGCCAGTCTGGCTACGTAATTTTGGACATATCACCAAATTTCCTAATGAGTGTTGGAGACGTGTTTTCTTCTTCTTTTTTTTTTATATTCCATCCAGTCCTTGTATTTGCAGAGGTCGCTGATGCTAGACTAGTGCATGTCAATGGCCATAGTTATCCTGCCACTAAAAACAGTCTTACCCACTCCACAACCTGAACCTCCACACACCTGAAGCAAACCTATTATTACGCCAGACTGTCGATGTGAATGTCTATGTCGATAGAATAATGTTTGAAATAAAACTAACCTTGCATCACATACGAGAAACATTTTTGTTTACATCTGGCTTTTCCGCTTGTCTGTAGTGGCTGGTAGGCAGAAAGTCAGTGGGGCTGCTCGTTTGTGTAGACAGTTGCGTTGCTTATGTCTTTGTCTATGTCTGAGATAAGTCGTCTTATTCTGAAGTAGGTTTTGCATTTAATTGTTTTGACAAGACTTCATCATCGTACTCTAAGTTACTGAATGTTGAGGATCAAAAAAGTTACTTTGAACAGTTAAAACTCGCTGATAACTGTTGACGATGTTGATGTTGACTTGTTGATACGGATGCTTTTTGCCAACCAAAATGGCTGACGTTACATCATCGTGTTTTCGCGTATAAATCGTCGCATGTTGAGGGACTATTTTCTCAGCAGCAGTGAAAGGTCCAAGTATCTCGGGGTCTTGTTCACGATTGGGGGGAGGATGGAGAGTGAGATTGACAGGTGGATCGGTGCAGCGTCGGCAGTATACGCAGTGTCCCGGTTACTGCAACATAAAGTTGAGTGTGTCCAAAAGACAAAACACTTTTCAGTCTTTTCATCACAGCAGAAGCCAAAATAAATAAAGTGAACAACATAAATAAAGTGAGTGAAATTACTGTTAAATAAAGAGCGCTAAGAGCAGTGCTTAGTTTATGCAAATGAGCCATACGGTTTTAAGTTCTGTTTCCGTAAGACGTAAACAAATGTGTCAAAGCTGCATTAAACATATTATAATGTCAAAGGGGTTGATGTGGCTCTAAAGTGATTATGATTTATATGTTGGAAAGCTGAGTTTAATTATGCAGATTAGTAATAGGAATAATAATTTGGACTGGGTATCATTAAGAAGTTGCCGATACGATACATACCTCGATACATGTGCCACAATACAATACATATCTCGATACAGCGCACTTTAGGTTTGATACAATATATTTCAAATCGATTCGATATGGTTCAATAAAAAATAAAGTCTAAATCTTGGCTGTGATACTAAAAGTCTTTGTTAAAACACTTCTTGTGTAAAGTTCATATGAATGAATCATTAAACGGTACGATTAGGGATGGGCATTCGATGAAATTTTCTTAGTCGATCGTAGGAAGAATTAACGATCGATTATTGATTCATTAACGTTTTTATATTAACATGACATATAAACTGTAACCACTCTAGAGCCACATCAGCCATTTGAGGTTATAATGTGTTTAATTCAGTTTTGTGCAAATCTCACAGAAACGAAACTTAAAACCGCATCGCTAATTTGCATAAACTAAGCGAAGATAAAACTACAGCTCTTGTGTCGCTGATGTGGTTCAACTTCTGTCGGATTAAAGGACACGACTCAGTGGAATACAGGTTAGTGTGACCAGATTTGCGTTTGTCAAAACCAGGACACCGTACGGGGGGAGGGAGGTGGGGACTCGTCATCGACATTGAGCGACTCTCACCTGGCAAAACTTTTTCCCACTGGACACAGAAACATATGTGCTGCTTTATACACTGTGCACATGGACTCACACTTGTCCCGAACGCAACGGAAAGCGTGGAATTTCTTGTACAAATCATCGTTAAATACACATTTGTGCTTCGGTACGTTGCAGACTGACCGAATGTTCGTGTCTCGCTCCTTCTGAGTGCAGAGACACATGTACAGACCCCTGTTTGGTCACACTACGCTACGCACAGCAACCTACATTCGGTTTGTCGATTAAAATTAACGTAATCGATGAAATTCTTAATGATCAATTATCGATTAATCGACTAATCATGCCCATCCCTAGGTAGGATATATCGATATTTCAATATTTTTGCACACTCCTAATAATAATGATGATAATCTTAATATAAAAACGTTAAGGATTAATCACAAATCTATCGTTAATTCTCCCGATGAGCGATTAAAGAAAATTTTATCGAATGCCCATCCTTAGTCCATACACTTGCTTGTTTCCATGGAGATGTTGCCGCTTTGCCTTTAATGTCCCAGCATGGCATTAAACGTATCATCCACTGAGACACCACCAGCCCAAGTTAAAGTTCAGATCTGCGGAGAGGCGAGCCTCAGTGTATTTTTCGAGTTTCTTTTCTGTTTTTCACAATAATACACCTGTAATTTAAGAATCGCAAAATGGATCAGTTCAATTACAGGGCTGTAAAATCTCCACGGAGACGAACAGGTCGCTGACACGCCGCACCTTTTAGGTTGTCCCACGTGAAATTTCAAGACCAAACTAGCTAAAAAAATAAATAAACTGGAGTCATGCATCATTGGTTAATCTTTTTACTTGATAATTACGGTCCTGTTTAGCTGGTTCCTCCGAGTCCTTAACAGTGCTGCTTTTGCTGAGTCAGATCTCACATAATCACATGTTATTTAGTCGTTCGCCCATAATCACCAGTGTGTAATGTATTTAGTGGTCCTCTGACATTTAGGGACTATAGTCTTCTTGTATTATATAGGCTTAGAACAGCACAGGCCACACACAGAGACAAAACACATCGAGTCTGTGTGTTTTGAGTACATCTCATGAACTGAATTTGACTTGTAAACATTCGTAGATTTGTCCCGATAATGCAAAAGAATTAAATTAAACAAAAAGCATGTAGCATTTCTATAATTTGAGGTGCTTTTTTATGGTTGTGACTGACTTTTCATGGTAGAAGACGGGTGTTTTTGCAGCTTTTTTAGTAACAGCTACAGGAAACAACCATTTTAACGATACTGATATATGCTATTGAGTATTAAACTACTAGGGATGTGATGAAATCCAAATCACATCTCACAATACAATATTTATAGTGATATTTTCGCAGAGGCTTATATAATTGTAGATAGGACACTTTTTTGCTTTTAAAATACCTTGACAAGATTTTGGTGTGAAATATTTCCATCAAAATTCGAAGAATTCAAGTAAAAACACATTTCTTCAAGTTGTTTGCAATAGCAGTGGAAGCACTATCTTTTAGTAGTATGTAGTAGTGGTAATACTGGTAGTAATAGTAATAGTAGTAGTAGTAATAGTGGCAGTAGTAATAGTAGTAGTAGTAGTAGTAGTAGTAGTAGTAGTAGTAGTAGTAGTAGTAGTAGTGGTAGCAGTAGTAGTAGTAGTAATGGTGGTAGTAGTATTAGTGGTAGTAGTGGTAGTAGTAGTAATAGTAATGGTATTAGTAGTGGTAGTAATATTAGTGGGTAGTAGTAGTGGTAGTAATATTAGTGGTAGTAGTAGTAGTAGTAATGGTAGCAGTAGTAGTAATAGTAATGGTAGCAGTAGTAGTAATAGTAATGGTAGTAGTAATGGTAGTAGTAGCGGTAGTGGTAGTAGTAATAGTAAGTAGTAAGTATAGTAGTAGCAGTAGTAGTAATGGTAATAGTAGTAGTAGTAGTAATGGTAGCAGTAGTAGTAATAGTAATGGTGGTAGTAGTATTAGTGGTAGTAGTAGTAATAGTAATGGTAGTAGTAGTGGTAGTAATATTAGTAGTAGTAGTAGTAGTAGTGGTAGCAGTAGTAGTAATAGTAATAGTAGTAGTAGTAATGGTAGTAGTAGCAGTAGTAGTATTTGGCACTAATATTGTAGTAGTAGTAGTGTTGGTAACAGGAATTAAATAATGAGTAGTATGTAGTGATAGGAGTGGTAGTGGTAGTAGTAGTAACGTGTAGTAGTAGTGGTAGTAGTGGTAGTAGCAGTAGTAGTCATAATAGCAATTACTATAAGTAGTAGAAATGGTAGTGGTAGAAGCAGAAATTATTAGTAGTACATAGTAGAAGTAATAGCAATAGCAATAATGGTAGCAGCAGTAGTATTTGGCAGTAATATTGTAGTAGTAGTAATGGTAATAGCGATTAAATAACGAGTAGTATGTAGTGGTAGGAGTAGGAGTGGTAGTAGTAGTAATAGTGTGGTGCTGATGGTAGTAGTACTAATAGTAGTATAATAGTAGGCATATCCATAATAGTAGTGATAATAGTAGTAATAGTAGTAGTACTAGTAGAGGTAGTAGTAAAGTTGTAGTAGCAG